TGAAGTTTTAAAACAGGGGCTGGCATAACTGAATTAAATAAATAAGTCCGTCTTTCAGAAGGGGCAACCTCACAGTTGAACACTGATGTTCACATTACACACCATTCGGTAATAAATAAAGAAGCAGACATGTATGCATGCATATAAACAGCTGGACTTTCTAGAAGGTTTAACACACTCTAATATAGCACTGCTTGAAGTTCTTGGGAAGCAAAAATGTTTATTTTTCTCTTAGAAAAAACTTGTAACTGTTTGTGTTGAAAGTAATTATCTACTGTCAGCAAGGAAAGCCTTCAGATCTTTCAATGTTTTCTATCTTGGAAAGTTAGAAATATGTTAAGCAGCAAGAACGGTAAGGTAGAAACACGCAGAAGCTTCGACAGGCAAAAGAACAAAACTAACAAGGAATATCTGGGCCGAATCATTGAAAAAAGATTGTAAGACCATAACAAGACTGAGTTCTTGACCCACAAAACTCTGAAGAAAAATCAAATGCTCTACCTACATGGAGACACGGAAGCGAAAAGGGAGTGAAGCGTTCTGCCCAGGCCGGGATGCTCAGTCTTACAGAGATCCAGGGCCGTTTTACAACAGCGTTGTAAAGCTTTCCGAATCCCACCTGAGCTCCTCACCGTGCTCAGTGTCAGGGTGCTGGTTTGCCTCTCCTGGGACCCACAATGCCAGCAGGCTGGGACCCACGGGTAGCTGAGCAACAGAACTGGCAGGCCATAGGTTTGCTCTCTCCCCAGCCACCCCTACCCAGGGACTCAGCTATGTTACCAGCCAGGCATGAGAAATGGACTGAGCGCTTCCCCATTCTTGGCTCTCCACCCAGATTACCTCACTCAGCCCTCACAATAGCTATGCAATGAGTACTGCTCTGACCCTCAGAGGAGAAAACTGAGGCAGAAGGCATTGAGCCACTTGCCCAAGGCCACATGGCTAAGAAGGGCAGGGAGGTTCCCACTCAGCATTCAGGCCACTGCCCAGAGAGTATCTAAGGAAAGTCAGCTACCCGCTGAGGCTGCCCTGGTTTCTCTCGGGACTTAGACTACCTGAATTGGTGGTGCCCACCTTACAACTCTGAAGAGGAAATGGAACTAGCTCTCCATCCCTGCTGTTAAAAAATACTCTTATTTGAGATGAGATTTGCTCTTCTTACCCAGGCTGGAGTGTAATGGTGCGATCTCAGCTCACTGCACCCTCCGCCTTCTGGGCTCAAGCAATTCTCCTGCCTCAGCCTTCTGAGTAGCTGGGATTACAGGCACCCACTATCATGCCTGGCTAATTTTCTGTATTTTTAGTAGACACGGGGCTTCACCATGTTGGCCAGGTTGGTCTTGAACTCCTGACATCAGGTGATCCACCCGCCTGGGCCTCCCAAAGTGCTAGGATTACAGGTGTGAGCCACTGTGCCTGGCCTAAAAGTACTTTTAAAGTTACATCGGCCGGGCACAGTGGCTCACGCCTGTAATCCCAGCACTCTGGGAGGCTGAGGCGGGCGGATCACAAGGTCAGGAGTTCGAGACCAGCCTGGCCAATATGGTGAAACCCCTTCTCTACTAAAAATACAAAAATTAACCGGGAGTGATGGCGGACGCCTGTAGTCCCAGCTACTCCGGAGGCTGAGGCAGGAGAATCGCTTGAACCTGGAAGGCGGAGGTTGTAGTGAGCTGAGATCGGGCCACTGCACTCCAGCCTGGGAGAGAGCGAGACTCCATCTCAAATAAATAAAATAAATAAATAATAAAAAATAAAGTGTTACATCATGGAGGTCAAACTACCTCACGGCACAGGCACTACCCCATGACTCATATGCTACCCCACAGCACATACACTACTCCACAGTACATACGCCACTCCACGGCACACACATTACCCTGCGGCTCCCACAGCACATACACCACCCCATGGAATATACACTACCCCACAGCACAAACACTACCCCACAATATGTACGCTACTCCATGGCACACATGGCACATACACCACTCCCGGCACACAGGCTCTCTCCCCACCCCCACGCCCCCCACAGCACCTACACCACCCCATAGTGCATACACCACCCCCACGGCACATACACCACCCCACGGCACATACACCACCCCACGGCACCACATGCTCTCCCCCGCAACCCCCATGCACGTACATTACCCCATGGAGCATACAGCACCCCATACACACAAGCACCTCCTTGTAGTATACAAACATGGCCCCATTTACAAATACAAAATATCTCTGCATGGCTCCTGTCCATCCAAACACCCAAACAACTGGTAACCCACAGGGTGGAGTACTCTGGCCTAATCGTTCATCTGTTCTCTCACTCATTTGCCTCTGCTCTCTCTCTCTGAAGTTAACCCACAATAAAATGCCTACAGCAATGTTTTCCAAGGACTTCTTTATCTTTTAGCCACCCTCACACATGAGAAGGAGCTGGAAAGCTTTCTTAGTCCCAGGAATTGACTACGTGAACACCAAGAGGGAGCAGGGTCTGTTTATCTATCCTTTTTTATAAAGTAAGTCACGTAAGGAAACCATGAGGAAATATAAGTATTCAATCCCAGACTCCTTTTTCTGTAGCAAGAGGAAATATAATTTAGTCCCACATAGTGGATGATAACGAAATAACAAGAAAACAGATCATGACTGTTTCTGGAAAAAGTCGAATTAGTTTAATACCATAGACAGGAACTTAAAATTATAGAGATGAATGGTTTTGTGTGTAAATATGGGTGAGGTAGCCAGACGAATACACTGCAAAAAACACATGCGGAATGAGAAAAACAGAAATAATACTATCCCACAACTTGTATTCCCAAGATGTTATCAAATAACGTACATGCTGGAAAAGTTCACTAAAGATTATTTACCCCTTAGATTAAGAGAAAATGTGATGCCGCTGGCGTAATAATCCAACAAAAGGGAATTAAAAATGTAAGCTACGCACTTATATAAATCTATATAACAGAAAACAGCTGAAGGCCTGGAGAAAGGAAGGGCGTCAAAGCATCAAAATTGGACGTCTGTCTGTCCCCCTCCCAGGATGAAGGGGTCAGGAACTGGCTGGGAAGGTGAGATTCTCCACAGGGTGGGCCGAGCTGGCCCATCCATCTCTCATTTCTATGGAAAGAGGCTGCACATTAGCACCACAACGTGACCCTACTTTTTAACACTGAGTGTTAGAAGGGAACGGAATGAACTGGGAACACCGCGGGCACAGGTAAAGTGAATGTTAGTCCCTTCCCTCTTCCATTTCCCTCGGAGGAAACAAGGCAGGAAAATAAGTTGTCTAGGGACCCACATTTCTAAGCGACACAACTGAGAACAGAAGCTTCCGCCCAATAAAGCACATCTCTCACACAGCAGCTTACCTACAGTCACTGTGATTGGGTCTTCTATAATGTTACCACAGTGAAACACAGGTTTACCACTCACATTAGGATTTGAATTGGGGGCTCGAGCACCAGTGACGGGGTAACACAAGGTTCCTGCAGCTAAGCCTTTCCAGATCTGGCATCGGAATCATCAGAATCACCAGGGGTGAGTTCTCTCCACTTAAGTAAAGCAGGCTGACCTTCCTAAGGCTTTCCCGGCATCAGGAAACAATGTAAGGTGCACTCAAGTCCCCTTGACTCTCCGAGGTTTTTGGTTAGTGAATAAATCCGGGGGAAAGCATTGATCTGGCATCCTCCACTGAAAAGAAACCTATCTTTGGCCAAGGTCTCCTATTTAAAGAAAGCTCATAAATATGAAAGGCTGCCTGAGGTAACTCCTATGCCAGGAAAGAACAAATTTCCCATAATACTGCCCTCTCTAGTACCAAACCCGGTGCATGCGACTTCTCGAACCTGTGACTGACCACTGACCGCCAGCCTCTATGGAACAATGAAGCCTCTTGTGCAAGACAGTGGCAGGAAACGCTGTGCTTGGGACAGTTTTCTTCCTCTTCTACACACACACATACACTTTTTTTTTTTTTTTAGACGGAGTCTCACTCTGTCACCCAGGTTGGAGTGCAGTGGCTCCATCTCGGCTCACTGCTGCAACCTCCGACTCCCGGGTTCAAGCGATTCTCCTGCCTCAGCCTCCTGAGTAGCTGGGATCACAGGCGTCCACCACCACGCCCGGCTAATTTTTGTATTTTTTAGTAGAGACAGGGTTTCACCATGTTGGTCAGGCTGGTCTCAAACTCCTAACCTCGTGATCCGCCCGCCTCGGCCTCCCAAAGTGCTGGGATTACAGGCGTGAGCCACGGCGCCCGGCCACACACCCCTTTTTACACCTAACGCCAGGGATTCCGGTTTCCCCTCCTCTGGTGTAAAACAAAATCAACTTTTCTCCTTCCGAGTCTTCCCTCCTGAGCTCTTCACTGGCTTATCACTGAAGGGGCAGATTCCAGAGGAACCCAAGACGACCTGGACTTCTGATCTAATCGGTTACTTTAAGGTAAAAAATAAAAAGATTCCAACTCCGCTTCTGAATCCCCCGGGGTGTTAAAGAACAAACACAGTTGCTAGCTTTTTCTGCAGAAGTGTAACGCTTCCTCCCAATCTCTTAATCTTCCCGCAGACACGGCTGCGCGGAAGCCGCATCTGAAGGTTCCTCCCCGGACCCGGGCCCCGGCGGGGTCGAAGTTGGCTCCCTCCGGGCGCCCGGTCCGCCGGGACGGCTCGAACCCCAGCCAGTCTCTCCGAGGAACCCCCAGGGCGCTGCGGGCGGGAAGGGGGCGCGAGGCGGCCGCGGCAGGAGAGCAGGTGGCGGCCTCAGGCGGGGGCCGTGCGCTGTGCCCACCTAGACCCCGTCGGAAGCCCCAGGGTCTCAACTCCGAGGCCCCTCCCCAGCATCCCGCTTGGCCCCGGGGGCGGTCAGCGTCCCAGACATGGGCATGGGAGCCCTCCCAGGACCCCGGGGCTGGACCGGCCACAGGGTCGGGGCTGCGGGGCCGCCCCGCGTCTGTCTGGTACCCGGGTCCCCCAGCCCGCGCCGGGAGCACTCACGTATCTGTGCACGAGCGTCCGCACGAGGCTGCAGTCCATGGCTCCTCCGGCCGCTCCCGCTCCGCCGCTCAGCGCCCCCGCGCCCGGCTCGGCGCGCCCATGGGCTCCGGGGTCCGAGTGCGGCCGCGCCCCCTGCTCCGGTCACGGCCTGGGCGCGCCGGGCGGTGCAGGGGGCGGCCGCGGCCCCTCCGCGCTCATGCCCGGCCCGGCCGGCGAATGCTGGGTCCGCGGCCCCGCGCGTCGGCGGCTGCTCCGCGGGCGGCGAGGCTGCTGCTCGGGGCCGCGCGCGAGCTCTGGCGCCTTCTCTCTCCCCGTCGGTCCGCCCGCTGGGTTGGGCTCGACTGAGGCACTCCGGCCGCGGCGGAGCCTGCGCTCTCCTCCTCCCGAGTCTCCTCCTCCCCGGCCCGCCGCCCTCTGGAGCCTCCGGGCCCCGCTGGCTCCTGCCCCTGCTCCCGGCGCGCACGTCACCGGCGCCAGTGAGCATGCGCCCCGCGGCCGCAGCCCCCGCCCGCCCCGCGCCCACACCCGCGCTCGCACCCGCGCGCCAGCCCTGCCCCCTCACGCCTCGGCCCGGGCCCCTCAGACCCTGGGGGCAGAGGGCAGAGGTCAGAGGCCGCGGGGAGGAACCCCTGTTGCTTCCGCCTCCCGGGGCGCAGGCGCGGGGCGCGGCGGGAAAGGGGCTCGGCACTGGGGGAACCCAGAGTCTCAGCCAGGGTCCCAGGGCTTCCTTCCCGGGTTCCTGCCGGAAAACTTTTCTCCTCCTCCCGGAAGCCTCGATGGGGCAGTGAGATCGCGGGGCGAGGTAGAAGTGTGGGAGGGGGCCGCGGGGAGAGAGCGGGAGTCCGGCCGGGTGGGAGATCTGAGCCGATGCTGGGTTTCGCCCCGGAACGTGGCGCCGCCGACCCGCCGGCTTTTCCTGCTCTGCAGGTGGCTGCCCCGGTTCCGAAACCCGGTGGCTCCCGGGGCCTGGCCTCTGGCCCTCTGGCCCCAAAGCTGCGACAGCGGAAGACACTTAGGTGGCCTGAGGGGTTGGTGAACCACCGAGGAGTTCAGCTTCGCCTGGTCTCCAGCTCCCCGTGGCGTGTCCTTCATGCTGCTGCCTTTGAACGGGGCTGAGGAGTATTTGCCACACAAACACTACCATTTCCATCCCAGAGAATGCCTCTGTTTTCCCTCGGGTGACCTGGCCCGGGTAACAAGCACTTTGTTCTCTAAATCCACCCAGCCGTGACTTAATTGAGATACTTGGTTTCCAACTTCCTGTCTTACTGCCATAGATAATCACTGATGAAACCAGACAGACAACACCTTTTGGTGGCCTGTGGCGAGCGCTGCCCCGTCTGGGTCTTAGGAATGCAGTTGAATATGAATGTTCCCCCAAGTGCTTGCGGAAAAGAAATGGTGTTAGCCTCCTTTTAGACGAATAGAAATGAGTACTAGTGAACAGTAATCGTAGTGACTAAACAGTAAACGGCTCCCATTTCTTGTCGTCCATATCACCGATTCTCCATTTTCCATCCCAGCCTGTCCTGCTCCAGCCTGCCCTGAGCTCCCGAAGCTGGTGGTCCCCCTCAGTGGATCTTCCCCCACAGGGGCACCTGCTGCAGACCAGGTAGGAGAGAGGCAGGGGCCTCCTCCCCTCTCCTTCCCGCCTGCCCCTACATCCTCCAGTGTTGCTTTACCTCTGCGGCCAAGATTCTTCCCGGGTGCCCGTTCCATTGCATAACTCCTCCAGGCTCTACGAACAGAACTTATCCCCGCCCCCAAGCCTCTTAGGGTGAAACATGTTGTCTGTCTGCCATTGTTTCTGGTCCCTAAATGGCAGCATCCTTTGAAGGATCCTTGAACCATGACCTCACCGCAACAAACAGTCCCTTCATCAAACTCCCTTCCAAATCCCTCCCAAGAACACCTTGTTTCCTGCAAGAACTCTGACTGCTGGAGCCGGATTTTGACTAAGCTTCTACCTTGTAAACTGACTGTGGGGTTGGGGTCGAGGCCCAAACGGAGGTTGTATAAGGCACTATATCAAGGCTGCCTGCCTGTCAGGAGTGTCTGCTTTATTCAGTGGTAAATGCGAATTATTTTTCATTCTGTAGCGAATACTACAGGGCAGCAGCCATGCCCTCTTTATCCTTGCTGGCCAGGTATCCACCCTCTGTGTGGCTAAGGGTAAACTCTGTCTCTTTTGAGAAAATCTTGGTAGCTCCATTTCTCTTTCCAACGATTGGCTTCAAACAAGCTCAAGTCAATGAGTCCCAGCAGGAAGCCTGCTGGGGGTTGTCTGGCCAAGGTTTTCTCACTCCTACAGGAACATAAACAGGAAATGCTCCTTTTTCCCTGGCGGATGTTGCATTCCCTGTCTGGATGCAATGCCTGGTGCTCCACAGCCCTTTGCACCCACGAGAGAAGGTGGCCGGAAGAGCATCTTCACTCTGGCGGCCTGGGAAGATGAGGAGAGCAGGAGTCCTCAGCACAATCAGACAATTCACCAAAATCCTGCTGCCCTCATCTGGAATTTCCTGCTATGAGAGATGTCTTCATTTAAACCACATGAGCTGGATTTTCTAACACATGTCAGCATCTTCGTGGTAAATCTAAGGAAAAAAAATCAGAACTATTAAAAAACAAAGTCCAACTCACCCTGTGTGATGGTTTGAAAGTGTCCTCCCAAATTCACATGTGGAACTCTAATCCCAGATACCTAATCACTAATCCCAAATATTAAGAGGTGGGGGGCTTGGGAGGTGATTAGGAATGGGATTAGTGCCCTTTAAAACAGGTTTTTGGGAGGCTGCTTGCCCTTTCTGCCATATGAAGATGCTTAGAAGAGGCCTTCTATGAGGGAGAGAACTTTTCTCAGATGCCAGATCTGCTGGGACCTTGATCTTGGATTTCTCAGCCTTCAGAACTGTGGGAAGCAAACTTCTGTGTGTATGAATAGCCATCTAAAGGATTTTGTTACAGCAGCCTGAGCAGACTAAGACACCCTGTGAGTCAGTTATTTTTGGCTGTGTCATGAGTGACCGCGAGTGCAGGAGCTGAAACAACAGTGAGTGGGTTACCATCTCTCAGGACCCTGTGGAATTGGCGAGATGGTGCTTCTGCTCCACCTGGTGTTGGCTGGGATTGTCCTGCAGCTGCATTCTTCTGGGGGCTCAGCTGGGGCTGGAAGGTTCCTGTGGCTCTAATCACATAGCTGGGATCTTAGCTGGGGTGATAAAACACTGGGGACAGGCCGGCCTTGCTGTCTGTCTCTCTGGCTTCTCATCATTCAATCGTCTAGCCTGAGTGTTTACATGGGAACCCAGGAGGGTCAATGTGGACACTATACAGCCTGTAAGGCCTGGGTTTGGAAGTCCGAGAATATGACTTCTACCTTGTTCTGTTGGTGAATATAAATTCCAAGGCCACTAGATTCAAGAGATAAGGACATAGATTTCACTTCTTAATGGGAAGATCCCATGTACAGACAGGGATCCTTATGAGGGATTATGAGAACTCCTCCTAATCCTTATGAGAGATTATCATACAGGGAATTTATGGGGGATTATCTTTGGAAATAATCTACCATAGACTGACTAAACAATAATGTCATGTGTTGGTGCCCATCACAGTGAGTTCAAAAGTGAAATGACTGCCAAAAATTCTACGGCCTCCAAGTTTCTTCATTCACATCCAAGCAAGAGAGACTTCACAATGATGGACCAGCTAAGTCATGTGCCCACTCCTGGCCAGTCCATCGCGCGGGTAGCAGAGTCCCTGAGATGATGGGCTTAGGCCCGAGGTCAGTGCACATCACCAAACTGGTAAGTGTCCAAGGTGAATGAAATTGTCTTAGCCTCAGGTAACCAGGACCTACCCCTGACCCACTACCAGCACAGCTGCTTCACAGTGCTGGAGGGATAGAATGAATGAGGAGGAGGTAACAGTTAGGAGGCCAACCCCAAGACTTGAAATTGTGGGTTTGCAAATGGGTGCTTCAGGCGACACCCTGGCCACACCCTCACCTACACACAGACTCATAAACACCCATCCTCCATTCCTCCCTCCGCCTTTCTTTCCAAAGAAATCTTGGATTCATTGGCCCTTAAGTGAAAAAAACTGGAGGGAAATAAGGGCGTGGGGGCAAAAAAAATGAGGTCTTCCTGTAAAGACAGTTCAAAAGAATTATTGCACGGAGACCCAAAATGACAAACCTAAAGCCATAGCTGATTGCTGTAGACACAGAACCAGGAAGTGTGAATTTTTAATGAGTGTCATTTTGGTGCTAGAAAGAGCTGTTACCTGAAGGTAGTGACTCAAGCTGGGCCTCCGAGGGCAAACAGCCTTGCTCCTCCAAGTTATTGGCCCATGCTGTCCACGCGTCTCTTGAGTTGCTATCCCCACAGGTCCAGAATTACGTAGGTGACCATCTCCCCAGGGATTGGTCCTAAAGTTCTTTTTTTTTTTTTTTTTTTTTGAGACAGAGTCTCGCTTTGTCTCCCAGGCTGGAGAGCAATGGTGCAATCTCAGCTCAATGCAACCTCCGCTCCCCAGGTTCAGGCGATTCTACTGCCTCAGCCTCCCCAGTAGCTGGGATTACAGGCACCCGCCACCACACCTGGCTAATTTTTGTATTTTTGATAGAGATGGGATTTTGCCATGTTGCCCAGGCTGATCTTGAACTCCTGACCTCAGGTGATCCACCTGCCTCGGCCTCCCAAAGTGCTGGGATTATAGGCGTGAGCCACCACGCCCAGCCCCTAGAGTTCTTCAATGGCAGAAACTTCACTTTTTGCCCCTTCATGGGCCATTCTCTAACCTCCCTGGTCCCTTGTTCTGGAATCTTCTGCCCCACCCCGTGTTTGGCCCCCTCTTAGTCACTCTCAGATGCCATCTCTCCCTACACCTGCCTGGGTTTCGGCTTGGTTATCATTAATCACTCCCCCTTAGCATTCCTAATGGCACCACTTAGTAAAGCTTAGTTATTTTTCCACAGCAGTATTTCTAAACCCTGGTTATAGATTAAACTCATTTAGGGAATTTTTTTTAACCAATAGCACTTCCCCAGGCTGGGCATGGTGGCTCACAACTGTACTTCCAGCATTTTGAGAGGCCAAGGTGGGACGATTAAGCAACCTAGCAAGACCCCATCTCTACAAAAAAACACACAAAAAATAAAATTAGCTGGGTATGGTGGCCCACACCTGTAGTCCCAGCTACTCAGGAAGCTGAGGTAGGAGGATTGCTTGAGCCCAAGAGGCTGAGGCTGCAATGAGTTCTGATCATGCCACTGCACTGCAGCCTGGGTGACAGAGTGAGACTGTCTCAAATACTACTACTAATAAAATAGTACTTCCCCAGGCAGTATTTCTACCAGACACTTTGACTCAGTTGGTTTGGAGTGGGATCCAAGCTTTTGTAAAAAGCTCCCAGCATAGCAGGTTTCAGATTCATTCATCTAAATGTCTGTCTCCCACCTGAATGTGAACCGGTTGGATGATCAGTTACCATCAGTTATCAGTCTTTCTCTCCTTAGGCATAGTGTGGTGCTCAACAGATGCTAAAAGAATTAGTTATACATAAACTGCTATTTTAGCCGATGAGCGTTAACAGAATAAAGGAAGAGCGTAAGGCGTGAGCACTCGCAGAGTGAAAAGTGCCCCATGCAAGGCCATCCATCCCGCATGACTCCTGTCACCGTGAAGGAGAGCTGTGGAGAGTGAGGTCCTGCTCAAGAGCCCCCGAGATCATCTGCCATGCTCTGCCAGGTCATTTGTCCTGGAACGTGACGTAGAACATTGTCTCCTGTTCCAGGAAAGGGCCGCATATGCAACACAGCCCCCAAATGCCGAAGGAGCTGAGAAACCAAGGAATAAGCCAGATCAATCCCATTTGTTAGTAAAGGGTGTTTTATTGGGGGAATTTACAGACAGAAGCATGGTCTTGGGTGGCTGGAGGATAGGGAGGTCTCTGTACCTGTCACCCCAGACCCAGGGCTTCTGTGCCCTAGGGAAGAGGTGTAAGTGCTCTTTGCAAGACAGGCAGAGTGGTAGGTGTGTCATGGCCCATAATCTGTGTAATCACATCAAGGCTGACATGGTCACACACTAGGGACAGGAAATCACATAGGAATTGGGAGGCGCTCAGGAGACTGGCGCTGGTCTGAAGTCAGCATGCTGGATCAGCACCCAAGATGGAGTTGCCACTGACTGGACCCACATCTCCCCGGGCCCAGGAGGAGTTTGCGGGGCAGGGCCTCTGATTATTTTTGAAAATCTAGTTTAATTTGGTTATTACATTGGTGTCAAAAATGGAATACATTAAATTTCATTGTACTTCTTAATAAAAAATGAATAGCATGAGTGCCAATCTCAAAGCATAACAACATTTAATCTTCCACACAATGCTGGTGTGAGCTCTGCCGTGAAAACTTGCACCGCATCCCGGGATTCCTGGACGTGCCTGGGTTTAGCTGTCAGGGGATCTCCTATTTGTCACTTTCACACCCATCCTGAGACGCCATGCGTTCTTGAATTCTGCACCTTTGAGACTTTTGTCTCCTCTGTCACTTGAAGTCTTTTTCTTAAAGTTTCTTCCTTCAGGTGTTCAGATGCAGGTCAGGAGCGAGACTGGATGAGCCGGGGTCTCCGGGTCTTTTCTCCTCAGCAATGAGCGATCATCGGCTCCATTTCACGCCTAACAATGGGTAATCATGCAGAGTGGTTGCTTGTCCCAAAGCGAGCCTAATCAGGATTAATTTTGCTTCTCAATGTCCCATTTACTTTTTATTTCTCAGTGAGAATATAGGAAAGGAAAGTATGCTAAGAATTCTTTTCTTATTTATTTTATACACTCCCTTCTCCTTTGTTCTACTTCTCTAAAGGATCAATGATTTTAATTCCAGTTTTCTTCCAGAAAAAAACAACTAAGTTCCTCGTAGTGCTTAAAATTACCAATAAAGTAATGAAAGCAATTTGTTGGAATCCTTTGTCTGAACAGTAACTTTAACATAGACTATTACAGCTCCTCTCCAACAAAGTAAAGATGATAGGGTATCTGAAATAAGAGGTGGATGATAATTAGAAATTTAGCATTAGTCAAAGTAATTTGCACCTTTGCTCAAGCAAGTTGCTTGAATATTACATAACATCACTTTAATGAATGTTCAATTTATGAAAACCAAACTTTTTACTTTTAAAGGTAAAACTAAACTGTTTATTTTCTAGAAAACTGAAAACTCACCCCTTTAGTCTTGCTGTGTCCCCAGGCTGGAGGGCAATGATGCGGTCTCGGCTCATTGCAACCTCCGCCTCCCAGGTTCAAGCAATTCTCCTGCCTCAGCCTCCTGAGTAGCTGGGATTATAGGCGCCCGCCTCCATGCCTGGCAAATTTTTGTATTTTTAGTAGAGACAGGGTTTCACCATGTTGGCCAGGCTGATCTCGAATTCCTGACCTCATGATCCGCCCACCTCAGCCTCCCAAAGTGCTGGGATTACAGGCGTGAGGCACCGCACCCAGCCACCCCTTCACTTTTTCAAACAGAAAGATAAAATGGTTTCTCTTAAAATATTTTTCAGCTATTGTAACTTATAAGAATACTTAAATATTCTTAGACAACTGGAAATTAGCTCAGTCTGCTCAAAAAGCCAAAAAAGTGTGTAAAAAATGTAATGGTTTTGTATGCTACTAAGTGAAGCCAGCCTAAAGGGGCAAATACTGTAAGATTCCACTGATATGAGGTCCCCAGAAAGGTAAAATCCATAGAGACAGAAAGTATGATAGAATGGGGCTAGAAGCCCCTTGACAGGGGCTGGGGTAAGGGAGGATTGGACAGTAAGTATTTAATGGGGACAGAGTTTCAGTTTGGGATGATATAAAAGTCCTGGAATGGATGGCAGTGCTTGTACCACAGTGTGAATGTCTGATACTTCATGCCACTGAACCGTGCACTTAAAATGGTTAAAAATTTAAAAAAGAAAAAGAAAAAAATAGTGTTTCCAGAACCAGAGATAACTTTTTATGTTAATATTCAATTATTCTGAGTTCCATTTCAGAAGACAGAGCTCATGAAGAAGAAAGCTCTTAAAAAAGAAAACCAATCAGGAGTTCAAGACCAGCCTGATCAACATGGTGAAACCATGTCTCTACTAAAAGTACAAATATATATATATTTTAGCTGGGTGTGGTAGCGTGTACCTGTAATCCCAGTTACTCAGGAGGCTGAGGCACGAGAATGTCTTGAACCTGAGAGGCAGAGGTTTCAGTGAGCCAAGATCGCCCCACTGCAATCTGGCCTGGGCAACAGAGCGAGACTCCATCTCAAAAGAAAAAAAAAAAAAGAAAACACAGCCAGGCACGGTAGCTCACATCTGAAATCCCAGTGCTTTGCAAGGCCAAGGCAGGCAGATCACTTGAGCCCAGGAATTCGAAACCAGCCTCGGCAGCATAGGAAGACCCTGGTCTCTACAAAAAATAAAAAATTAGCTGGACATGTTGGCTCACACCTCTGGTGCCCACTACGCAGCAGGCTGAGGTGGGAGGATCACCTGAGCCCAGAAGGTTGGGGCTGCAGTGAGCTGTAATTGTGCCACTGCACTCCAGCCTGGGCTACAGAGCAAGACCCTGTCTCAACAACAAAAACAAAACAACATCGATGAGACCAGTTTCTGCCTTAGTGACACACGTGAAGAAAAACTCTGATGCCGCCGTGGTTGTGTTGGCAGCTCACAACCTCACCACGTTGAATGTCGTCATACAGGCTGCACCAGTGCATGCTTCAGCTTGGATCACTTTAAGGAGGAGATGGAAGCTGAGGCTGGAGACCTGGCCATGTGCCAGGAATCTCACACTCACCACTGTGTACTTCTGTAAACAGACGGCAGCACGAGTGCGGGGCTCCACTGCTCCAGTTTTTCTGATAAGGAAACCTAAGTATCCAAAATTCCACTACTTGAAGACAGTGAAGGCAGGAATCATCCCCGGGCCAGCTAGATCCCAAGGCCACCACAGGCTTGTGGCTGGATCACCAGTCTCCTAATCACGGCCATTCCCAGCCCCGTCCCTGCAGTCTGCTGGCCTGACCCACCGCAGGACAGCTGGAACCCACAGTGGGTGTCGTTGGTCTCTGGCACACACCTGCTTCTCCCTCACTTCCCCTCCAAGGCCCATCTTGCTAAGGTGGAACGAATGAATTGAAAACACCGGCTCTGCAGTCAGGGGCAGGCACGGTGCATCCTGCAGCAATGCCTTAGCCTGCCGAGGCCCCTGCTTGCCTGTCTGTAAACTGGGCACAATCATGCCACCTACTTCTTGGATCCACAGAAAACGACTTTGCCTGAGGCCAGGCACTAGGGGCCACCTTCCCCAAGCACACTCCTCTCACCCATCCTGCTGGGTCTCCCTGATTTTCCCCGCCTCATCCAGGGTCCAGGTCCACCTCTTCCTCCAGCTGGAGGGAAGATGGTCTGGTGGGCGTGGTTAGTATCAGGGAGCAGAGAGACCCCAGCTGAATGACAGAATCTGTATAAAGTGGCCGGCAGGCTGCCCAGTGCACAGTCTGCTCAGCAAGGGTTTTTCCTTTCTGCTTGGTCCCCGCCGTCGGATGCACAGAACCCGTATTCTCCTGGTCGCTGCAGTCCAGCGGCAGGTTCCTGATAGCTCACACCCCCGCTGAGGTTCCACGCAGCGCGGATCAGCGGCTTATCACAGGGTGCATCACAGGGCCCTCCCTCCAGACCTGCTGGGTCCATCTTCAGGAAAGAGGCCCAGGCACGTGTATCTTTCAGAGGCTGACACCCTGGGTAAGAGTCTCTGCATTGAGTAACCCAGGACGCCTCTGGTGAGTTCATCCTAACAAGGTCCTGGGATGTACGGATATTCAGGACCACCTGGAGATAGGCCTCAAACCTGGGTTCAGCTCTCAGACCACTCGAGACTGCTGCAGGAGGCTCTCATCTTCTTTGTAGATAATATTTCAATGGGTCAGAAATAACCTTCTGATTGGGAATGGAAGAAGAAAGGCATTGAATGGTTGGTTTTCTTCTGTGTAATCCTACAGGGGTACACCAAGAGTTTATTTTCTGTATTACAATGAAACTTTGTAAAAACTTTAATGTTAGCCAAAGAAATGCACTTGCTTTTTTTTTTTTTTAATTGGAGTCTTGCTGTGTCGCTCAGGCTAGAATGCAGTGGCATGATCTCGGCTCACTGCAATCTCTACTTCCTGGGTTTAAGTGATTCTCCTGCCTCAGCCTCCCGAGTAGCTGGGATTACAGGCATGCACCACCACACCCGGTAATGTTGTGTTTTCAGTAGAGACAGGGCTTCACCATGTTGTCAGGCTGGTCTCAAACTCCTGACCTCAGGTGATCCACACGCCTTGGCCTCTCAAAGTGCTGGGATTACAGGCATGAGCCATGTGGCCGGCCACATTTGCATAGTTTTAAAAGAAAATAGTGCTACCCAGCCATAAGAATAACCCGATGTCCTTGCCATCGCCCACTCTGGAATCCCCTGCAGAGAATCACTCATAGCTCTTTGCTCCTCTACCTTTATTGTGTCCATATTTCCAAATCATATGCTTATAGCATAATTTTGAAAATTTCAACAGCACCAGTTACATGGGAAGATAAATATTTAGCTCATTCATGCTCCTACCTCTAACTCTGTCTCCTGCATGTGTGCCTGCAGAGGCTACACGGGTCTCCATTCAATCCCTGCCTGTGATGGTAACAAGATTACATGACTGCATGTCAGTGCATGTGCTACATGCTACATGCCGCCCCTGTGTTCATGCATTTTCACTGCATCTTCTTTCTTATACGACCCTTTTTCCTTGAAGATAATCATCGCCTCCCTCTTTCATTTTCTTAGCTTTCTTTTTTGAGACAGAGTCTCGCTTTGTTGCCCAGGCTGGAGTGCAGTGGCGCCATCTCAGCTCACTGCAACCTCTGCCTCCCTGGTTCAAGTGATTCTCCTGCCTCGGCCTCCTGAGTAGCTGGGATTACAGGGGCCCACCATCATGCCCAGCTAATTTTTGTATTTTTTGTAGAGACGGGGTTTCACCATGTTGGCCAGGTTGGTCTCGAACTCCTGACCTCAAGTGATCCTCCTGCCTCAGCCTCCCAAAGTGCTGGGATTACAGGCATGAGCCACTGTGCCCAGCCTCATTTTCTTAGCTTTCTGTATACTTTCTACTAGTTCACAGCCATACACTCATATTTGTCAGTGCCATTCTATATATGTTTTTTATTTTCTGGAGACATCCCTCCTGTCACCCTTTGGCATTCTGCCCCAATCTGATGATGACTTTCTAAACTTGCTGCATACTTCTATACTCAGGCTGCACTTCACAGGTGTCAGGAATTCCCTCTACCTCTCTCATAAGCCCTTGTTTTCTGCATTCCATGATGCCTTCCTCCTTGATTTATCTGTTTAATTTAGTGGAATGTATTCTGTAGTAGCTTCCTGGGAAAGGGTGCATGAAACATCAACAGTTAAAATATTTTTCTGACCTTATAGTGATGGATAATTTGGCTGGGTATGTTAGTCACAAGTAGGAAATATTTGTCTTCAAAATGTTCAAAGTGAAAGGTGGTGGTGGCATAGCGTTTAATCTTTCTAAATCCCAAAATTAAAACAGAGCAACTAGACAGCAAAACCAAAAACCTATGAATCACATTGACAACAAAATTATATAACAAAGTATCCCCATGAACCTTTGGATTGGGGGTGTGAGTACAAGTGGGTGTGTGAGGAGATGTAATAAGGGAGTCTTCAGAAGGATTAGACTTTCTGCATTTTACTAAATACAAAACTTTAAAACAGCAAAATGCATTATGAAAATTTCTTAAAATGATATTTTACATAGAGAATTTCACTTTAACTAAAATAACTTGTTTCAAACAGCAAGTAGGTTAAGTTTAAACCAGTACCTTTCCACTATAAACCATTTTCTGAAAATTTTCTCCTGTTCTTCAATCTGAAATATAAAGGAAGGGAGACTTGCCAATTTTGGATAGAAACGATCAGTCTCTGGACTAGCTTAGCAGGAAGTAGTAAAATTATCGTACTTGGGTTAGTGTGACATCTCACATGAAAAGAAAATGCCTGGAGAGTCTCTGCAACCAGAGAGGCTACAGTGCTCCACTCCCTTCGATCTACTTTCAGAAGCCGTGAGAAAGGTTTTGGGCACACATCGTCAGCCAGAAGCCAACACGCTGAGCAAACCGTGCTGCAGTCTGTGTACCTGACGTGCCTCCAGCCTTTGAAGATAAAAATAAAAAGTCTTTTGCCCCCGACTAATCTAATCAAATTAAATTAAAATGTCATTGAGTTCCGTGTGCCCACTTTGAAATATTATTAATAACAACAGCACTTGCATTCATTTCTATCTTCAAGGCCTTTCCTAAACACCCATTTTTTCCATCTCTTCAAGGGGAGCATCTGCTGAACGGGATGGGTGAAGTGATGGGAAGCAGAGGAGCAGGCCTGCGGCCGCCGTGAGTACATCACATTGTGTGATGGGGGATGTGGGAGTGTCTGCGGGACACTGGCCGGAGCTTGTGTCTTTCACAGATGTAAGTGCGAGGGCGATTCTGAATGTGCTCTCAGGTTCGCAAGGCTCTTAATGAACCTCTTTATCACCTGTTTGGGCTCTGATTTTCCATTGTTCAGAATTCCATATAAATTACAATGGAAAAAATTTAAAAAATTAACTCTTTTAGTTGTTGTTATTCCTGAGGACTCAGAACCGTGACTGATGTGAGGCTGGTGAGGCCGTGTGAGCCTCGGGTCAGTAGCGGGCAGGGCTCGGAACCTCTTGCCACTCCCTGAACCCTGGTGTGACCAGATGTCCCACTTTTCCCTTAAGCTGACTTTCTCCGCCTCCCTCCCTCCCTCCCCACTTCCTTTCCTCCCGCCTGCTCCCACCGTTCCCAGTCTGCCCATTTTCCTCCATTTATTGGCACTGGATGCCCACACCCAGGGCACACTAGGAAGCTGCTGAGGGTGAGCAGGCCTCATGACAATGTCATCAGATCAGGGTTTGCTTCAGAGGCAGGTGGGGAAGAGGAGGTACAAGATGTTCGTCTTGATCTCTGCTGTATGAGAATCGATACCACCAAGACTTCCTCAGCATAAAGAAAATGTCAATAGCTTTGTGGCTTTTGGACCCAAATGAGTATTAAGTGGCTGCTTATTTTTAAGGCTCATTTTTAAGGGACCATTTTTAAACCCTGTTGTTTGCTATAATACAATTACAAAATAATTTTACTTTTGTAAGCTTTACTGTAAAGAATCTGATCCTATTACCCAACTTAGGGTATATTAACTAGATTTGGTTGCTTTTTATAGTATGAAATACAAACTTCTCCAACTGGTCATCATAATCTGGCCAACCTCTACGTATTCATCCAGATTTCCTTCCTTTCTCAGCATTGCTGTCTCATCCCCCTGGAACATCTTCCACCTCATCCACCAGACTCAGCGCTACAGTGCTCCCCTCGTTCCTGAGCCGCTTCTGTCTCCAGGACTTCAGGAGACACAGTTCTGATAGGGCTCACAACATTCCCACCCCATGCTGGGGGGCTCCATTGCAATCCCCTGTCCTCGATGGGAACAGAGCCTGATGTCCCTCCCTTGATCAGGTTACATTCTCTTGTAAAGATGAAGGAATTCTTCAGTGGAATTAAGATCCCTAATCAGTCAACTTTGAGCTAGTCAAAGGGAAGGTTATCTTGGGTGGAACTGGATACAAGATAGGGAAAGTCAGAGAGATTCGAGGCTGCAGAGATGTGCTCCTGTTGGCCTTGAGGGAGCAAACTGCCGTGCTTTGCGGGGAGCCACATGAGAGGGAGCAGAGGGGCCTCCAGTAACTGAGAGCAGGTCCCAGCGGGCAGCAGCAGGAAACAGGGGCCTCAGTCCCACAAGCACGAGGAACTGAATGCTGCCAACAGCCAGTAAGCTTGGAAGGTGACCTTGACCTTCAGATGAGCACCTGGCCCAGCAGCACCTTGACTTCAGCCTTGTGAGGCCCCAGTCAGAGGACCTAGCTGGTCACATGCAGACTTTTGACCCATGGAAACAAAGAGTGAGAAATGTGTATGGTTTTAAGCACCTAAGCCTGGGATCATTTGCTGTACAGCAAAAAGAAACTAATACAGGGGCCGGGCGTGGTGGCTCATGCCTGTAATCCCAGCACTTTGGGAGGCTAAGGTGGGCAGATCACCGGAGCTCAGGAGTTTGAGACTAGCCTGGGCAACGTGGGGAAACCTCATCTCTACTAAAAATACAAAAATTAGCTGGGCGTGGTGGTGGGTGCCTGTAATCCCAGCTACTGAGGCTGAGACAGGACAATCTCTTGAACCTGGGAGGCAGAGGTTGCAGTGAGCCGAGATCGCGCCACTGAACTCCAGCCTGAGCGACAGAGCAAGACTCTGTCTCAAAAAAGAGGAAGGAAGGAAGGAAGGGAGGGAGGGAGGGAGGGAGGGAGGAAGGAAGGAAGGGAAAGAAACTTCATCTCAAAAAGGAGAGAGAGAGAGAAAGGAAATAGAGAAAGAGAAAGAAAGAAAGGAAGAAAGAAAGAAAGAAGAAAGACTCCATCTCAGAAAAAAGAGAGAAAGGAAAGAAAGAGAAAGAAAGAAAGAAAGAAAGAAAGAAAGAAAGAAAGAAGACTGCATCTCAAAAAAAAAAAAAGAGAGAGAGAAAGAAAGACTCCATCTGAAAAAAAAAGAGAAACAAAGACAGGTATCCTGTGGCACATGGTGTGGTCTTCCAGCACTTTCTCTGCTAGAGAGAGTGGTAGAACTGTAATTTTTTGATGCTATGATGGCCTCTTGCACTGCTTTTG